ACAACCCGAACACGACGAAAAGAACACCCAGAAACCCAGAAATCTATACCAAACTTAACCTCCTCCTGTGATCATATCCTTGGAAAGCCTCAGATATGACCCGATCACCCATTTTCTCCAGCAAGATCTTTGATACCAACCCAAGCAGCAATCTGTCAATCTCTCTCTCTCTGCTAAACTTGTGGAAACTTAGCTCTCGCATCACAAGCCTTTCAAGCCAAGCATAACTTTCTAATTCTTTTATCACAATCATCACTCTCTTGGTGGGAAGAAACAGAGCATTCCCTGGAAATTTACATTTTCTCGGAGTGTTTTGGGCCTGGTTCTGAACTCAGGCAAAGGGGCATCACAATTAGCTCTTTACGACGGCCCAAGCCCGCCTTCAGTTGTCGTGACCAAAAAAGACCCCTACAATGAGATAGTGTTTTAATTAGCTAGATGCAGATTTTCATTTTTCAAATGCAGTTTTCAAAAAGAAACAATTTGGAAAACTCAAGGATGAAAAATATGAAGGTTACTCTAGAGGAAGAAGCGAAAGTTTGCAAAGAAACTTTCCAAAACTTGCCTCCCAAAGTCACAGTTGCCAAAAGAGGAATACAAAGGTTTTTACACAAAATTCCTTAGGTCAGAATCGACACATGGCAGCAGAGAGAGAATGGAGAATATGACAAAAATGCTGGAAATCCTACAGAGCAAGGATGACTAGTCATACGAGAAACAGATGACTAGTCATCATTTTATGAAATCAATTTAATGTTATGTGATGCAATACACAATTTACCTTTGTCAATTTGCTTGAACCTCCATAGGATAGTTGTTAGTTAAGAACACCTAGAGAAGCTATTCTTAATCTAAACTTGAGCTTGATAAAAACAATAGAAATCCTATTACAAAATTGTCAAGGGAAGCCAAAAGAAATACTCAAAATGCATACATTAATAGGTGTAATGAAGAGACGGTTGGCAGTGAAGACGCGTTAATGAAGTTACGGTTTTCGAGACGTTTTGTTTGTAATGAAATGTTTGGGCTTTTTTTTATAAAATTGGACTGGGCTTGTTTAGGGTGCTTTTTGAGTTTTTTGTGTTAGGCTTGATCAGGGTCAGTCTTATAATTTATAAAAATTTCAACACCAATTTCTTATGTAGTAAATGGATTTTGGGTGTGTTTCTAAAGTGCATTCCATGTGGGGATTTTTTTATATATAATTTCAACCCCTATTTTGGGTATATTAGTGAAACTCCCTAGAATTAATTTGACGTCTTCTTTTTTCTTTTTCTTTTTTTAAAAGTTTTTAGCGACTTTAAAAATTGCACTCCAAACATATATATAAATCAAATACACATGGCGCTTTATGATTGTTATATGTGCCGGTTCTATAGTTTTGGAATAAAACCGACCACAGGAAAATTGAAGTATCGTTCTTTCTTCCTTCTCTGATCTGGACTCGACGCTCAGCTCTCTCTCTCTCTCTCTCTCTCTTAGACAACCACCTCGTCTCGTCCGTGTCATCTCATCAATTCAATCCCAAATCAGCCTCCTCTCTCATCTCCTTCATCTCTCATCAGTATCAGACAACCAGATTATAGACAAACAATTTCTGATTTTTTTTTACCATAAGTTGTTCAAGCATGGTTTTTGTATTTTTGTGATCATAACCAGATTATATGAATAAAGTGTTACTTGCTAGTTTATGCTTTGAGTTTTTTTTTTTTTTTTTGGTTTATGTATTTATTTTTAGGTTTCAATCCCTCATTTTTGGGAAGTGAAAATTGCTTCTTGTTTGCCCTTATTGACAAGTATCCTAGGTTTTCTTGGGATCTAAGAAGCGCAGATACAAATACGGATACGGTGATACGATATGATACAACACGGGGATATGGTAAATTTTCAAAAATTAAAATATAATACGTCATGGATACGGTTATTAAAAATATTTATAACTTAAAACAAATTTTAAATAAATAAATAAATTGAAAATTATAAATATAGTGTAGCATTTTGGGCTTTCTTTTCTGATACTTTATATTTTTAGGCATGTATAGCTTTTTCCACCCAAACATATCATTACCCAAAGCCCATTTTAATACTATTGCTTAAGACCCAAACCCATAAACAGATCTATGTAAAAAAAAATATATATTACAAATCCCGTTTTAGCAAACGACGTCGTCACTTGAGATATTAAAAATTAGGTCAGTCGACATCTTCTTCTTCTTTCTCGTGCTCGCCGGAGAAAGTAGAGCAACCAATTCTTTTCATAGTAATAGTATGCTTGTTAACCACAGACAAGTTCTCAATCCTTCTCATTGCTCTCTGAAATTGAAGTAACCAAGAACTTTCAATCTTGTTACATCCATAGGACGCTCTTCTGTTTCATCTTCAAATGCCAAGTTCAAGCACTTATCAATTGAAGTCTTTGTTATCTTCTTATAACCCATGAAGTATTTCTTCACAAAATGCAACTCTGGCCTTGTTGAAGTTGTTGTGCTTGGTAGCTTCTTGCCTCTGTTTGGCAAACCAAAACTTTCAGCCACATCTTGGTTTTTCATCTCACTGTCACCATCATGAAACTTGAATTTCCTCGTCTTTGTGTTATAGTCTTGTATGAGTCTCACGATGTCATAATTAGACTTCATGCACTCTACCTTTGTTAACCTTTTCTGGATATATGCTTCTATGAGTGTTCAAAAAGGTGTCTTCGATAGCAGTGTCAAGACATCATTCCGTTGTTTAAGTTTGTCTCTGATGTTGTCGATTGTTGTTGTAAAATGAGCATCTTGCTCTTGATCTGCACATAGTTTGGGTCATCCCATCTGTTTGGCTTCTGGTTCGTTTTCTTTTTGGATGATAACTGTTTGCCTTTTGGTTCGGAGGTTGGTCTGGTTTGTTCTTTCTTCATCATTTCTTAAGTATACATGCATTAGAAATAGCAACATGACAACCATTAATCAACATGACAGTAAACTAGCAGTGTTATTACCCTAGACTGGAACATTACATGGGTAGACATGCATTAGAAATAGGATGTCATAGGAAACGAGCAACATTATTACCCTAGACTGGAATTTTATAGCCATTAATCAACATGACAGTAAACTAGCAGTGTTATTACCCTAGACTGGAACATTACATGGGTAGACATGCATTAGAAATAGAATGTCATAGGAAACTAGCAGCATTATTACCCTAGACTGGAATTTTACAGCCATTAATCAACAGTACAGTAAATGTGTGGTTTTTAAAGGTCTTACCTTTGAAGCATTTTCTGCTTGAAATTTTCATGGTTTTGTAGGTGGAGGTTAGTGTGTGGTTGTTTGGGCCTAAATTTGATGCGCCCAGTCCAAAATCAGAAAGCCCACAATAATTTTGAAACATCTGCCAACAAAAATCAGGCCTAGACTATACATTTCAAGCCCAACATAAGAGGCCCAGAAACTATCAAACCACAAGCATGACTTGGGCCTCGAAGGAATTCAAATTGGGCTTGAACCAAAAATGGGCTTGGCAGGTTTTAAATTAAAAGAAAAAGAGAGAAGCCCAAAGGAGAAACAGACCCACGTGACCCTCTGATTTGGAAAAGTAAACAATTTCAACTGAAGTTAATAAGGAATGAACAGGGGCAGGTATAAAGAAGACCATCTCTGAAAAACTCTGCTACCAAGAAATCAAAACCCGTTTTGTTTATTCAGAGATATTTTCTCTGCTCCAAAAAAGGCACCATTTTCAAAAAGATACGCAGATTACGCTTTCTAAAAAGAGATAAGCAGGAAACAGGGAGTTGCTAAAACTGGAAAATCAAACTTACCATCACAGGTTGAAAGAGCCGTTAAACTGGAAAAAAGAAGGTGAGGTTCCCCATTCAAACAGAGAAGTGACTGTTTCATAAACTGATCGTTGAGGACTTAAACTGCCAAGATTGATAAAACCCCTTTTCTTTTGCTTTTTAAAATAAAAGATCTTTCGAGATTTTTTGCATCCATTATTAAAAGAAATTAGAACCCCCACTCCCAAAACATTTCTTATAAATACAAGAGAGGGTGAACAGAGCAAAGGATCACCAATTCAAACAACCAAAAATCAGTCAAAAGACAAAAACTCAAAATGCTCATTTGATCCCAAAAGCCTTCAAACAGAGACCAATCAAGACACCCAACTTCAGTTCAGACTTAGAGAAATAAATCATTCAAAACGAGATTTCTCTCGTTACAAATTTGGTTCAGCATAAGTCAAAGAAAGCAGAATTCAGGTTTTTACAAATATGAAAACCTCAACAAATTTATGAAGAGCCTTGATCAAGCAGGTTAGACACCACAGTAAAGCTCCAGCTCAGTAGTCAGTTCTAGCCACTTCTGCCTCTTCCAGACTAAAGACGTCCTAATTCTGCCCGACCAAAGCCGTTCCAGGGTTTGAAATAAATTGAAAGCTCTGCCAAACTCGAACGTTGGCATCGATTTGCAGTTGAAACAGATCAGTTGTAGTTATTGACAGTCCAGTCCAGCACAGTCATATCCAATCCAGCCTGGATTAGAAGCATCTGCCTAGGCAGAAATGGAAGCCCATACGTCTTTTTCTCTTCTCGGAGTCAGTTTTTCCCTTTTGAGTCTTGTAAAAGAGAGTTCTGTCTAAAAGTAATCCATTTTCTCACCATCTATTCTGGCCAGAACTATCCGTTTTATACTGAGAAAAATTGTGAAGTCCTCACCAGTCTGAGGCAAGAAAAGAACTTACTTGGGAGATATTCCTCACCCAAATTCACAATTGTTTGTTTAGAAATCAGTAACTTGGGGCTCAAGTTATCTATTTTTAAAGAAGTCTGCTAGAATTTTTATTGCTAGCAGTGGCACGCTCGCACACTAAAGAAAGTTGACTTGTCGACCAATTAATGGTTTTCAAGACAATGGGGAACTTTACCCTACCATCACAGGAGACAAATCAAAACAAGTGAATAGTGATGTTGGTTTTTGTAAGTAGATGAAGCTTGGTGATGGTTATGGAGTGTCGATTTACAGAGACGGGTTGATGAAGACGCATTGATGAAGAGGGTGTAATGAAGAGACGGTTGGCAGTGAAGACGCGTTAATGAAACTACGGTTTTCGAGACGTTTTGTTTGTAATGAAATGTTTGGGCTTTTTTTTATAAAATTGGCCTAGCCTTGTTTTAGGTGCTTTTTGAGTTTTTTGTGTTAGGCTTGATCAGTGTCAATCCCGTAATTTATAGGAACTTCAACACCAATTTCTTATGTAGTAAATGGATTTTGGGTGTGTTTCTAAAGTGTATTCCATGTGGGGGTTTTTATTTATTTATTTATAATTTCAGCCCCTATTTTGAGTATATTAGTGAAGCTCCCTAGAATTAATTTGATGTCTTCTTTTTTCTTTTTCTAAAAGTTTTTAGCGACTTTAAAAATTGCACTCCAAACATATATATAAATCAAATACACATAGCGCTTTATGATTGTTATATGTGACGGTTCTACAGTTTTGGAATAAAATCGACCATAGGAAAATGGAAGTATCGTTCTTTCTTCCTTCTTTGGTCTGGACTCGACGCTTAGCTTTCTCTCTCTCTCTCTCTCTCTCTCTCTCTCTCTCTCTCTCTCAGACAGCCACCTCGTCTCGTCTGTATCATCTCATCAATTTAATCCCAGGTCAGACTCCACTCTCGTCTCTTTCATCTCTCATTAGTATCAGACAATTTCTAATTTTTTGTGACCATAAGCTGTTGATAAGTTGTTCAAGCATGGTTTTTGTATTTTTGTGATCATAACCATATTATATGAGTAAAGTGTTACTTGCTAGTTAATGCTTTGAGGATATTTTTTTTTTTTGGGTTTATATATTTATTTTTAGGTTTCAATCACTCATTTTTGGGAAGTGAAAATTGCTTCTTGTTTGCCCTTATTGACAAGTATCCTAGGTTTTCTAGGGATCTAAGAAGCACGAACACGGATATAAATACGATACAATACAACACGGGGATACGGTAAATTTCCAAAAATTAGGATACGATACGTCATGGATACGGTTATTAAAAATATATATTAATATATATTAATAAATATGTATAACTTAAAACAAATTTTAAATAAATAAAAAATTGAAAATTATAAATATAGTGTAGCATTTTGGGCTTTCTTTTCTGGTTCTTTATATTTTTTGGTGTGTATAGCTTTTTCCACCCAAACATATCATTACCCAAAGCCCATTTTAATACTATTGCTTAAGACCCAAACCCATAAACAGATTTATGTACCCAAAAAAATATTTAGATTATTATAAATAAACCCAATCCTAGACATGTATTTATAAAAAAACTCACACACTATTTAAACATAGAAACACACCCAAAATCAACAGTTGTATATTTTTTGGGCGTGTTTATAAATGGGTTTTGAGTGTGTGTAATGATGGGTTTTGGGTGTGTTTATAAAATGTTTTGGGTGTTGGGTTTTTTTATAATTTCAGCCCTCATTTTGGGTGTTTTAGTGAAACTCTCAAAAATATATTATAAATCCTGTTTTAGCAAACGACGTCGTCACTTGAGATATTAAAAATTAGGTCAGTCGACATCTTCTTCTTCCCCGTGCTCGCCGGAGAAAGTAGAGCAACCAATTCTTTTCATAGTAATAGTATGCTTGTTAACCACAGACAAGTTCTCAATCCTTCTCATTGCTCTCTGAGATTTGTTTCATCTGGAGGTTATTCTGTTCTTCACTCAAGTGGTCTTCAGCACTGGTTCAAAAATTGGCAAGGACACAGAAAACATAAACTGACAGCTAGCACTTTTGCTGCCGCCGTTGGTTTTTTTCGTCGCCGAAGACTCCAGCTTTGGTTAGAGAAGATTGGAGCAATTGAGCCATTTTCGGGTAACCTGAGTACCTGTTGGAGCAATATCAAAGAAGAGGAAGCACTTGAAAGATACAAGCTGATAACAGGAAATTCTGTCTTGTTTCCTGAATTTCAAGTCTATGGTAATACAAATGCTGGAGATGATTGGCTAGGAGCTTCACCAGACGGGGTGGTTGATAGGCTGGTATACGGATTGTCTTCACGAGGAGTACTGGAGATTAAGTGCCCATTTTTCGATGGAAATATGAAAAAGGCTACCCCTTGGTCGCGAATTCCTCTGTACTGTGTTCCACAGGCTCAGGGTTTAATGGAAATACTTGACAGGGATTGGATGGATTTCTATGTTTGGACTCCTAAAGGGAGTAGCCTATTCAGGTTATACCGGGATGCAGAATACTGGGATGTTTTGAAAATGGTTCTCTCAGATTTTTGGTGGAATCATGTCCAGCCAGCGAGGGAGATGTGCAGTAAGTCTCAGATTACGGATCCCCTCGTTGAATTAAGATCGCTCAAACCAGCACCCAGGCATGAAATGTGTAGTTATATAGTTTATGAAAGCAAACGCGTTGTTGATAGCTCCAAGTTATTGATGCGTGAAATCAATGGCAAACTGATGAACTGATGCTAGGCACCTTGAGCTCGAAACACAATACAATACCTATTAGGTTTACTTCGTCGTCCCTGTTATCATTTTGCAGAAACACCTTGCATTTGCCTTTCAAAATATCACATTACTACTGGAAAAAGAAAAGGAAGACAAGTTAAAGTTGTTGATGAGCCTTAAAACTTACCCAAGTCTCCATCATGATTTCCATCATCCATGCTCATGATCGTGAATGTAACATGATGTTTGTTTATGATGATTTTCATTGCACTCATTCACTTTTCAATCCAAGTGGAAATTGTTCATGAGAGCATACATGTCTGACATTTATCCGCCCCGAATGGCAGAGAAGTTTCCATATCGGAGAGGCCTTGAACTACCAAAGAAGAATCTTTACATCATCAATTCTTCGAATGAATTTGAGTTAATTTTTGAACAATCTCCAACTATTTCCATTTATGTGCGTGTGTGTGTGTATCCACAATTTGCTACACTTTCTTCCTTTCCCTACTGGGAAGCATATAAAAGAATACAAGTTTTCTTTTCTTTTCTCTTTTTACAAGCAAGAGGCACAAAACGCACATAACCACAAGGAATTGTGCCAAAAAAACTCAAACTCCATCCTTACTATTAAGGCACATGAGGTGCCGCTATACCCAATGGCCGTCAGCAAGTAGACAGAAGTTTGAGTTTCTAAATAAATAATCAATTTGTAATGTCTTCCCAATTACAAAATGCTCACCATTTGAGAGTACCAATTCAAAAAGAGCAGTGTTGCGCGCTTGGGCGACCAACCGTGGCATTCTTCATTAGAAAATGGCATCGAGTTGTATATGCAGAGTTAGAAAGCTCTTGCTACTTTCTTCCCAGCATTCATGCTTTTGCTACTTTCTAGATGAAACTCCTACCAACTGGATGTTGGTAACGAAAATCTATGAGAAAGGAAATCAGACATCAATAAAGCATTTTAAGTGCAAAGAAGACAATGATAAATCCAACAGGAACCTTTTCATATCATGAAGTGACGAAATTCCTATGAAACTCAAAAGTAAATTATCCTAATTATACGTAAGCTTACAGCATAGTTACTTATCTTGCAGAACCCAGCTCAGCTTAGTGCATCTTAAGTCAAAATCTAGGTCGAGTAAAATTTAAGGAATAGTACAAGCTAATAACCTGAACTGAGCCATGCGGTTCTTATCACTCAACTCATTGGAAAATAAAAAATAAAAAATTTCTATGTGACAATATAGAAGCTACAGGTAGCCTCTCATTGATGTAAAAGAACAGAGGTATATGAAGAGACTTACACATAATTGAAATCAGCTCCTTTGACCACATATCCTCATTGATGTAAGAGAACAGAGGTATATGAAGAGACTTACCCATAATTGAGATCAGCTACTTTGACCACCTATCCTTCGCTAGCACCAGTAATACACAGAACCCTCTCCTTAAGCCTATTGATAGTCTGCATGCAGAACAAAAGAAAAGGATCAATAGAGAACAACACAGGCAATACAATTAACTGCACACAAAGTTTCAAAATCCAGACCAAGCTAGAGATCCTTCCCCATCTTTCAGTGGAGACAGCAGCATCTTTGAGATGAGAACAACGTGGAGTGTCAAAACTTAAAAAGTAAGCTGAAGTTTCTGTAGCTTCTGCTACCCAAAGGGAATTCATTTGGTCCTTTTCTCTCTTGGTAAGATTACAAAACCCAACCTGTAAAGAAGAAATATAAAAGATTATAAATAGACTGCTTTTAGCCAATAGGATGGTTTCATTTGGGAAAGAATGGGAGGGTTGATTACTGAGAGGATGTGGTAATAGAAATTTGAGTATGATATTAATCCCACAACTCGATCTCCAAAAATGGAAACCAACTTTTACATACTTCATACACCTCAATATTCTAGGTAGGGATTCCTTGTGAGGAGGGCTTGCATTTTGTTAATTACTAACCAAATGGATCAAGTATGGGTGTGAAGTCAAATGCTTTCTATCTAGTTACCATCCAAGTATGGAATTAAGAGGCAGCACATTCAAATAGTACTTTTTGTGTCTTAAAAGATTCTATGACCATAATTAATGGGTTATATGACTTCCTAATGAAGATCGTAAATCATTCCCTCAAATTAAACAAAAGGGCACGATGAAAGTTGTCAATCTTAGATACATCAAAGTGGTTGCAGACCAAATCAATTAACGAAGACAAATTACATTTAGAGGCTGTTTTGTTTTCTGGGCTAAAAGTCTTGAAATAACTCATCTAAGTTACTCCGATATCTTGAATTAGTTGGAATTTTAACTTAATGAAGGTTGCCCTTATTTTTGCTGCTCTGACGGTAGCCGGTATGTAGAAGACAGTTCAAAATGTATAAAGGTAGCCTTTTGTATTATAGTAAGATTTTTTTTATATTGCTTTAAATGCACACCTTGTGTTTTGTATGTATGTTTATACTTTTTTCGATTTAATTATGTTTCTTATTAAAAAGAACCAAGGAAGATGTTCTAAGTGCAAACATAAACATACAACTCATATGGTTAAATGTGTCAATTGTTGGTTTTAAGATGTTTATGGTATATAACAAGCAGACTTGAAACTTATTTTTAGACTAGAAACAAAGAAAAAGAAGATATCAAACAAACAAACATATCATTCAGACATAAACATTAAGGTCAAATTCAGATCTACTCAGATATAGGATCAAAATAAAACTAAGAAATGCCACCTTCATATTCTATTTCAAGATAGTACCAGTGTCTCACATGATGATTTTTCTCATTAGTTTATATGAAGCGGTGACCTTCTGAGGTTGACTATTGAGAAGGAACAGTACATACCGTTGATCCTGTGAGGTTATAGTTTATAGGAGCAATTGAATCAACGCCAATGTATGGTGAACAGAAGCAGACGGCCAGTAGAGAATCACATGATTCTTCTGAATTTAATTCAGATATGGAGCCATCTGTCACAAACACCCACTGTTTCTTCTGGTGAGCAGCTATATATGCCTCCCCCACAAACACAATGAATGCAGCAATATCAAATTCACTGCATAACACCCCCCCACAACCCCAAAAAATAAATCAATTAATTCAACATTACTTTTCTATGGGAACAAACAGAAGAATCAATATCAAAAGCATAGGCTTAGTCTAGGATTAACCTGGAAAGAGGAACTTTACCCAAATCTGACAATAAGACTGATTTGCGAGGATTGAAAAAAGGCCTGAGATGGATATAGTCATTTTATTAAAATAAGTAAAGAAAATATAGGAAAATAAAAAACATAATACTTACTTAAAGTGTTCGACTGCCTGCTGAGATAAAGGCTGCCATGTTGTTGTGGATCCTCTCGCTAGCAAGTGTAGAGTATCCACATCAGAACTTGTTGGTATAAGTCCAGAAACGCGATATGCATGTCCCTCAACCAGCTCAGTCTTCTGCTGTATCAGAAGGTAAACTTGGTAATGTTCATATGTGGCATTGTAGCATTCAGAGAATAATTGTTCAAGGGAGCAGACTCGTCATTTATATTTCATAAACACACATGGGGTAAGAAAGAGAGAGAGAGAGAGAGAGAGATCAACAAAATATATATTAAAAGGGGATCTATACAATAACACACTTGGGTTCACCTGCTTCTCAGATGGGTTCCAGATTGTTATTAGGCCTTCCTTAGAACTGTCTTTCCCATGACATAATTTTCTTGTTAGTCCAACCACCCTCACCCTCATGAATGGCGTGACTTCCCTCTCACTTAAGCCGACATCTTCCAGTGCTTTCAAAATTGATTTCTCCATGTCTGACTGCTTAATTGCCTAAGTTCCAACCTGCCATGATCAAAATCTCGTTCTATACCAGACTTTCATTCAAACAAAACATTGGAAACCTACCTCCAGCTTTGATCGATATTTGGTAAAAGATTTCAACTGTTCTGAACTCATTTCTGCCATTAAAATTTCGGGTTCAGTGGCTGTTTCTAGTATCTTTAAGAGTTTTGCCCCTTCACTATCGCTATCATTACACAAATGTGAATGTTCTAGTCCTCTTTGGAACTCAGATATAATGCCTTCTATGACATTAGAGCGCCTGCACCCAAGAGAAATATCAATCACAGCAAATAGGAAAGGCCTTGCAAGAGAATATGTCTTAAAGTTTCATCAGGGATGTATTTGCAATTTGATGTAAAAAGCTTAAGACAGTGTATAACACCAAAAAGAAATCATCTTTTTGTTTAAACAAACTTTAAGACAGTGTATTCTTATTTCACCAAATATCTACCGGTAAATGTGCAATGATACTTTTCATTATAAAAATAGCTAAAACATGGATTATTATAATTTTTTGGATATATTACATGATTGAAAAGGAGTGTACTTTGATCTGATGAAGCGTAAGTTTGTTTGACATAAAAGTATCTTTGTAGCATGAGATCAATTTGAGATCCAAGTACATACACACACAAAAATTATTAGCTCTAAAGAAGTACAACTCTCATGAGTTTAAATCTCAAGAATCAATAATTCTTGATATTTACATCTAGCAGAATTATACTCTACTTCCATCCAATAATTTAGCTGAAGATGTCTTAAGGTCATTGTTGAAAGAAAAATCAGCCCCCGCATAATAAGGCTGTTGTTGAGATTAATATGAGTTATAAGTATTCTTATAAGCACAACACTTCCTGTTCCCCAATTCATTTTAACTTTTCATTTGAAACATATTTTATTTACTGTAAGAATCTTTGGCAAGCCAGTCATCCATTTCAGCATATCTAGTTCTCCCACCTAAGCACATGCTAAAGGGCCTGCTTTCAGTCATGCATTCCTGCACCACCTAGAACAGCATAACATGAACAATCATGTAACAAATCATTTAATGGTTTCTCCTAAACTAAAAAAGTCACAAATTTTCTAGAACAATCTTGTAGCTCCCATCAAATATTGAAGCAATTTTGGATTTTAAGGCAAACTTGACATAAGACACCTCTGTTGAGCACCATCTAGAACAGCATAACATAACGCAATCCTGATATGATCCAAATATTTTTGCAACGAAAAAGGAAAATGTTGAGCATACTTGAGGTCAAAAAAATTCAAAGAGCAACTAGACAGGAGAACACTTAAAGAGGCTAAGCTAAAAAAATTAGATTTTGAATGAATAAAGGAAACATAAATTACGAATACTTTCAAAAAGTAAATTAACTTATAGTTTGTTTGCTTTGTCAGAATAGACACCTCTCTTGATATGATTGCACCATTTGGGACTCCAACCTCTCTGATCTTACAATAGATCTTCCATTACTTAACCTAAAAGAAAAAAAATATATTACAGTGGTTATGTTCATAATTAAGGACATACAGTATCAACTCAAGTAAACATATATAATATTTCAAATTACCTCTCTTTG